AAAAAGGGGTAGAAAATTACACATAAAATAAGTTCAGGGGGGTAATAGGACCTTAGTATAGTATAAGTTGTCTCTGGAATTTCGGGCATAGGTCGAGGGGGTACTTGGGTATTTTTCCAATTCCAAATAATATATACAAAATGTACCAACATCTCATTTAATCATATGATATTTAATATTTTATGTGAAAAATTTTAATTAATAAATTTTTAACATGAAAAAAAATTAATTTATTAATATAGCATAAAAACAAAGCACAAACATGTAAGTCCCCCATAATAGATAAGAACTTTTATGGAAACTTACATTAAATCCCACTAACTTATGAGCTAGTTACTTAAATATAGTCTAGTTTGCAATATTACATACGTATCTTACAAGATTTTAATGCTTCCAAATACATTCAGATACATGTATCTTGGATACATTGGATCAAATTTAGGTGTAATTTATTCTAGATACATTGTATCCAAATGAATCCATATGTATTTGAAATACATATCAAATCTCGCTCGCCTCTCTCGTCTCTCTCTTGTCTCGCTTACCGTTTTGTCATGTATTTGGTATCCCAGATACATGTGTATCACTATTAACATGTATCTAGGTATATACGAATCTCTCTCGCCTCTCTTCCATCTCGTTCGCTGCTCTCTATGTATCGAGATAATGCACGAGTACCCCCTCAACCTGTGCCCGAAATCTCGAAGACACACTTATAGTATACTAAGGTTCTATTACCCCCCTGAACTTATTTTATTAATAATTTCCATCCCTTTTCGGCCTACATGACACTATCTTGTGGGCTCAACGCTGGTTGACCTTTTTTCAAGCTAGTGCCACGTAGGCTGAAAAAGGTTAGAAAATTACTTAGAAAATAAGTTCGGGGAGGGGGGGGAGAGGATAATAGGACATTAGTATAGTATAAGTGTGTCTCTGGATTTTTCGGCATAGGTTCAGGAGATACTTGTACATTTCCCCCCGTGTATCTATATTCTAGAAGAATACATGCGAATTACTCTAAATACACACACAAAATTGTGTGCCTTTAGATCCCGTCTTTCTTGATTCATAATCAAGACGAAAAGGTCGGATGTACTTGTTCAGGTCAGGTCTACTTTTGGTCATACTTCTCTCTGAAAGATAGAATATTGCTCAAAGAAAGTGATTCATAGTCCCTTTTCGAGACACACATATAGTGTGATTCACATGTGTCTGGATATATATGAGTCTTGCTCGTCTCTCTCCCTATTTTGTGTATCTGGTAAAAAAATGAGTAAGATACGTATAAACTCTTAATTAGAGCTGAGATATATAATATTTGAAAGTATAAGTAATAATAACAGAGCAAAGGACAAAAATCACATAATTTTAAGGTAAAATTACTATTTGTCTCTTATAAGTTTATAATTACAGAAATCATTCAAAACGATACGATAATATAAGCGCTGATACATTAATCTAATGCGCGAGATACTTAATTATTAAGTAAGATACATTACATTTTATACATGATACACTAATCTGATACGCGAGATTCATTAATCTGATGGGATGATACATTAAATTGATGCGTGAAAACGAGAGATTTATAAAAATAATAAGGAACAATGATAATAAGAGAATCTAAATGTGGAGTTCCTCTCATTTTTTTCATTATAATATATATGATAGTGAAATATGTCTAATAGTAAGATAATTTTTTTAACTTTTATAATAGGTAAGGGATATATTTCCTACCCAAAAAAGTAAAAAGAAAAATCAAAACCTAAAATAAAAGGAGCGGTAAATTTCCACAAAATTTACCTTAGTGGTAAAACATTTAAACAAGCGGGAAATCTCCCCCCATTTTACGTAATTGTTCCCAAAATAAACTTCTTGTATTTATTCCCCTATAAATAAAAGACACAATTTTATTGATCATCATCTACTTTGGTAAAAAAATTTTAAAAAAATGGCTGAGAGTACTCAAGAGGAGTTGAACGGTTTCACTGAGCAACCCATATCTCAAGCAAGAGTAGTTCTTTGCAAATACTCTGCTATACAAAACAGTATTTCTGGTAATTTTTGTGGAAAAAAAAATCTCTTTTTTAATGGGCTTTATGTTCTTTTTTTCTTATTTTGTTTTAAAAAAATGATGTATTATACAGAGGAGAAAGATGATATTGGGTGTGTTGATTCGGAGAAGTTCAAGGAAATTATGAATCAAATTGAAAACTCTCATAATGAAGGTATTATATTATGGTGTGATTATGGATGGGTTTCTTGTTCTTCTATCATGAGTATGATGGGATTTAGATGTTAAAGTTTTCATCTTTAAGTTGAATATTTACAAGATTTTGCATATGTTGCTTGAAAGTTTTTATCTTTATGTTGAATAATGAATATTTACAAGATTTTGCCAATGGTGCTTGAAAGTTTTTAAGTAAACTATGTTTTGAGTAAAGTTACATTCTTGTTGAAAATATGGACTTTCTTGAAGAAGTTATTATCTTACTTTTATTACAACAACATACAAGTGTGATATGGGCAGTGGTGTTCAAGATTTTGCAAATGGTGTTCAAAATTTAATATATGTGTGAAAAATAATTTTTGATTTATATATTTCGTATAAATTTCTATATATAAGTATATTATGATTTTTTAATGAAGGTTGTTCAACTGAGAAGCTTTAAAGTCCTAAAGCTAGAGTTTGTACATTTTCCAACTTTAAGGCAGAATCGAACATTCTTGATGAAATTTTGCTTACATACTTATTAGTGATAAAAAAATATTGACTTTATTTATCACTGTGTTTGATTGATAGTCAAAAAGCCAAGAGAGCAAGTTGCAGATGCAGAGGCATTGTTTGATCTCACCAGAACTTTGGTGGCTTCAGTTAGATCACATTCTGCTGATGATGTTACACCTTATATATTCATTTCCTCTTTGCTCGGAGCCTTTGGGCCACGAAGTGCAAAACATCAAAAAGGGCTCTCTCCAAATGAAGATACTGTAGGTTGGAAGAAACTTGGGCTTGCTGTTTCACCAATTTTTAGGAATGGAAGAGGTTGCCACACAATGTAAGTTTTGTTTTGGCAACCCTTTTCTTGATTCATAATGCCTCACTATTTAGTTAGTAGTGCATGGGGGACTTGTTCTTGTATTTTTATGTGCTTTGTTTGTTGCTATATTCTGAAGGATTGGACCCATGAATTGTGAAGTTAAGCAACGTAAGTATACTATACGTAAACCACACACAAAGGTTTACTTGCATGCTCAACCTAAAGAGGTATGATCTTTCTCATATTTTGTGTACTATGCTGTTACTATTGTCAAAGTGTACATGTAAGAGTTGTATGTGTTTTGAATACTGATGCATGAGTGTCTATAGCAAATTCCCTTACTTTATTATGTCCAATTTGGATTCAAAGTATTGTCTTGGAGACATAGTAAGGGAATTTGCTATTGTTGTTTGGGATTGAGGTGAAGTAGTTGTTTATTTACTAAAGCATAAAAATGGCTGCTTGAGTTATATTCAGTGTATGTAATCTGCCTTGTATCACAGCTTGATGATATAGAGGAGAAAACAGATACAGACAGCAACATATCAACTATGTTTCAAATCCTAAGGGAGAAGAAGAGAGTCAAGCTTGAGTATCTCATAGTGAACAGAAAATCTTTTGCGCAAAGCATTGAGAATTTATTTGCACTATCTTTTCTAGTGAAAGATGGACGGGTTGTCATAGACGTCGATGAAAATGGATCTCACTTTCTGTGTAAGATACCTTTCTAAATCTTCCATTTACTGAGCAGTGCAATTTATGTATGTCCCAGTCTTTCTTTCTGTAGTTTGGTTTTTCCTTTCTAATATTCTTCCTTTCTCAGCTCCAAGGAATGGTCCTGATGCCAAATTAGTTAAGTCTGGTGAAGTTAAATACAGCCACTTCGTCTTCAGATTAGATTTTGCTGATTGGGAGGTAGGGAGATACTATGAGCAAGAGTCCAGATTGTTTCTTTGTTACATGAGCAATCGATGAACTTACCATATAATCACATATTACTTTTGCTTCTTGGTCTAACATAATATCCAAATGATCATTGTGCACACAGCTGATGAAGAATGCAGTGCCAGAAGGAGAAGCGCTGATGCCAAACAGGAACATATTGGTGAATCCAGTCTTTACTGAAGCTAATGAACCAAACAGAGACATATTGGTTAATCCAGTCATTACTGAGGCTAATAAGCCAGTTGCGATGGATGATTGTCAACGAATGTTACCAATCACTTGGGTCAAGAAATTGTCAAGGAACCGAGGCAAGGTATTATACAAAGCTTCAGAAGTTGATAGTAACTCCCCTGAAATTGGTGATGCCAGCATTGGCAGTGGCAGCCTGAAGAGGAAGCTGCTATGAGATGTAGCTATAAGTTAAACCTTTAACTCTCCATTGGTTGTGAACATGATTGTATATTTCAATTAGGCTATTTTTGAATGTGTAAAGCAACTGGCTCTGAGACTTTCCATATATTTACTATATTAAGTTCTATCATTAATGCTTTAAGACAATTCTGCTTTATTATCTTGTATAGCAAATAGAGTGCAACAACAAGATCACTGATCAAAATAAGCCTCTGTATGTCATTGTACAAGGTGCAAATGACCAAGTTTTCTGATAGTGACAACAATTGAATGAACAAAAGTAATTTATTTTATAAATGAACATACATATATTAGAAGACCAACAATCTTATGAAGGCGCATGTAAAAGAAAAAAATGACTAGTCAAGTAGTGTCATGGGAACATGCGGTAACTGTAGTAGGAGCTTCAACTCTCATTTTCAGATGATTGAATTCTAAAGCCAAAATGGGCTTCGACAGCATCACAGATATGCTGAAATTTCTCTTGGTCCCTCTGGGCACTCTGCTAACTGATTCCACATTTGAGCTCTGATCTTCAGATGAATTTTCCTTGTCTGCATCTGACTCAGATGGTCCCGAAACTTTTGCTGGTTGCACTGCTCTTACCCTACATATGCAAAGTGAAAAAGCACAAATCACTAGCCCTAACAGCGAGTTCTAATGCCAATTAGGGGCCAAGAAGATGTTTCAGTTCCACTTGCTAAGTGAGCTACAGAATATTAGCAGAGAGACTTATAGCACAATGAATAGATCAGGCTAAGCAGCACAGACCTGCACTCAATCTGGCAAGAGTACTTGAGGAGATCAGAATTGTACTTCGTCCGTCCACTGAAATTTAAAGCAGACTGCTAGTTACAAGTGCAAATTCACTTCACGGGTTAACACCCTAAGGACCAAGATAGAAACAATTACCTGAAGTTTGGTAGTGACATTTTGATAAGTGGACCCATCCATCCCTTAGAATCCTGCTGAGAAGCTGCCAATTCCCATTAACATTTAAAAAACAAGTATGATATTTGGGATGAAGTTTCCAAATAACCTGCTAATGGTCAAACACTCAAACTGCAAGATTTTGCAAAAACTCCCTCCCTTGGTTAGGATATGCAGAACGGGGGAACTGATTGTTTATTCTATTGAGTAAAGGAACTACCTAGTTGGCTAGTTAGACCATGTCCTGAATCACACTCCACAACTATTGCTACAACGGAAGTCGCAGAACAACAACAATTATATTATGAATTTAATCTACCAAGAAATAATGCAGTGTAATCTTATTTACCAGTGGCATTAACATTGATGTTGCAGATACTCATTGCTGTCTGTTTCTTTATTTCAGTCACTTCTACGTCCATGTGATTCTTATAGTTAGAAGATGTCCTCAAGCCAATCCTTCTTAGGAAACTGCTTGATTTACTTTCCGGTTTCTGTGGAAGTGCTGTAATTTTCTGCATGCAGGTCAACAAAGTGAGTTGTAGCTCAGAATATAACACTTCTTTTCTTAAAACATCAGCCGAGTAATTGGATAAATATTGGCTAGAACTACATTTTCAGTTACCTTCAGTATACCTTTAGAAAGGGCATAGTAAAAGCCATGCACATAGCATGTGGAAAAAGGAAATTCATAGCCAACATGACAGAAAAGAGTTTATTTAAGAAGAGAACGGTAATTTGAAAGCATTTTGCGAAAGCTTGACCAGGAGAGTTGAACTGCATGATACTTGATATACAAAATTACAACTCAAATGTTCAACAACAGAAGATCCAATTTACCAACTCAGACGTACCTTCGAAAATCTGGCAACTTGGCTTGGAAGACCTACAACCTGTTACGCAAGAGATATTATTAAGATTATGTCAAAATAATGCAATATACAAAAATTTAATTAGTTATGCAAACTAGATTCCTAGTAAGAACGTGTAGTGGTGCCTATCTTTATCGGTTTTCACGCCCTCATGCTGGAAAATTACTCTTTCAATCAAATGATTAAAGAAGCCATTCTAATTAACACTGAGGTTGGGAGTACAGATGTATATCAGAAAGTGATCTCTACCTACCTTCCGTCCATGAAGGCATGCCTCATCACTGCCCACCAGCACCCTGGCAGCCCATCTATTATTGACAAAAATATATTTGTTAGCATACACACATAGTTTTTGGTTTAACCATTTGGTATCTGAAACAAACTGCCGCAACTAATCTAGATTAGCACATCATAAGGTCGAGAAAGCGGGAAAGCACTCCCTACTAAGAGTACTTTTATTTCCAAGGCTTGAACACGAGAACTCTAGTTAATTAAGGGTAGTGAGATTCATCTCATCCCACTGCTTGGTGATGATACAAATATATACTTTATAATATCTTGTCCCTAGGTATGGATTTTCAAGTTTGTCTTCTGAGATAGAAGGAAACTGAATTATTTAATAGGATAATAAAATGTTGGCAATAAGGTTTACATGGATTATCCCCAAATATATACTTCATATTGTTCAATAATTTACTCATGACAGCTAAATTAGTAGTATCACCAGTTACTATGCGGGGCTTCAATGAAACTACCCCTTCTAAATCACCAGAGAAGGAAAAAAAAGTAGACACAACTGTGTGTTTGGAATAGAGGAAAACATTTTCTCAAAAATGTTTTTCGATTTTCCAATGTTTGGTTGGTCAAATTGTCCGGTAAACATTTTTTCAAAGAAAAACAGGTACCTTAAGAATGAGGAAAATGACTTCCTATATGAAAATAAGGAAATCAAGTTGCATTCCAAGTTATTTTCTCCTCCCCTTCCACCTAATCCCCCAGCCACACCCCTTGACCATCCCACCCCCGCCACTCTCGAACCCCACTCCCCATTCCATCCCCCCTCCATAATATTTTGCTAGATAACATATATTCGCCTTACTTAGCAAACACTAAAAATAAGTAAGAAAACCACTTGTTTTCAAAGAAAACATTTCCTTCATACCAAACACACCCGAGAAGGATCTTAAATTTCAGGACGAGCAAAACAAGCAATAAAAGGAACCCCAAATAATTAAAGAAAGTCATACTGAATCTAAACGACGAGTCCAGGTTGATTTTGTTGGGGCCATATTCCGTTTTCACAACAAGTAGAAATTCCAAAATTATTTCATAATGTATATAACTAGTACTAAGCAAAGGAAGAGTAAAAATACTTACGCACAAGACGTAGGTGGATTCCACACTAATCCTGCAATCACCACAAGCTGAACAACTTGCATTAGAATAATACTTAACTAAAGTAAAAAACAGAATTCTTTAATCAAATCTATCACAATCCTGTACAAATTAAAGCAGGCAGCCTTACAATATAGAATGAAATAATTCAACTTAAAATAATACCAAACAAATCACTTGGTCTACTAAACAAAACTATAATACACAACACGAAACCTCATCGAAAATTCCAGCAGGACTATCATCATAGCTAGCAAGAAAAAACCCACCAAGAGTATATCTGCAAGTAAACTAGTACAAATTAAAACACTAATTGTGTTTCCAAACAAAACCTACAAATGCATACCCAAATGCCTCAACTAGTTTGCACTCTTTAGGAATGAAAGCTCTAGCGTTCTCTGCTTTGACAAGATGAAGTTGGTATAAAGCACTGCAACATTAAAATTATTGGCTGATTAAAATCCACAAGACTTAGATCAATTGTAAAGATAAATGGATACACCACTTGCCTGCCTTTAAAAATCCATGGAGGTTTTCCATAACCCAATGAAGTACAATTTGTGTCTTTCACTTCCATGAACTCCAAAATACCAATTATATAATAGCATATGCCCCTTTGCAATTAGGATGAAGAAAGCAAAGAAAAAGAAGAGCTCTAATACTTGAAGTTATTAAGAAGAAGATGAGGTAAGGCAGGTGAATCCTTTTTCTTGGCCACCAATGTTGGGCCCAAAAATATGAAAGTAGTATCTATTAGCAAGTACTATATACTATATATATACACACATTATACTCCCTCCTTTTAATTTTTTAAAAAGTTATGATCTAAATAAATTCTTAAAGATATTTGTGTAAAATTAAAGTATAATAATTAGGTGACATACTATTGAGATGTGCTAAAAAGAAAGGGTGTCGTAAAATATGAAATGGAGGAAGTATTATACGAAAAGTGAAAAGCTACAAATATAAAGTTAAATTATTATTTTATTTTTATATTAAATTAAAATAAAAAAATAATTAATTAAATAAATAGTAAAATTCTCAAATTTCTATCATCTTTTAAGTAAAACATGTTATAGCAAGTTGAACTTTTTTTACTACTCATAACATTTCGTAATAAATTGAGTTTTTTTTACTATTCATAACATCTTATTATAGATAAATCTTTTTCTACTATTTGATTTGATTAAAATGTTCATAATATTTTCGTCTTGAGTGTTTCCTACGAGCTGACATATTCATCTTAGAAATGATATAATTAACTTCATATAATTGGCGGATGAAGCATTATAGGAGGTTCGACTCAGATTTACAAAGAAAATAGATTAACGTCCGAATTACAAGCTACCAAATGAAATATTGCTAGAAAGCTTCTACAAATTACTAGATGCGGACAACAAGTCTGTGGCAAAAAATGATGTAGTAGATTCATTGATGGGTCATACTTATGATAAAGTTATATGTTATGTTAAACCAACAGGGCTTGACACGCTAAGGTAATTAATAGTGTATCAAGTTATGAAAAAATTTAAAGCAGAGGCCAAAAAGAAAGGGATGAGACATAAGTACCTCATTCAACAATGGCCTGGCCTGAATATATAGCAGCATACTTTAATATAATTACAGTCATATTACCCCTCCCCCCCCCCCTCCTTCCCACTCACACCTCAAACTCCATTTTTTCGTATTATAATACACTTTTTGTGCTGATATGACACTTTCAATCAAGTAAGTTGGTTGCGTTTGTATATCATGCACTATCACATGTGTAATATTTTAATTTTTTAAAAATACTTTTTATTTTATTTATCTTGAATTAAAGTTTTTCTTTTCTTTTCATTTTTTCCCTCTTTTTAATCTATTGACTTATTTGTTTATTTTATTTTCTTCGTCTTTTCTTTAGTTTTGATTTCAAATGTATTGTACTTAAAATAAGTTAGTTTTATAAGAATATTAATATACATGAATAAAATCAAATAACACACAAAAAAAATTAAACATTAAAATTAAAAGGACACATTTTTTTTAAAAAAAGCATTATTGTATATTCTTTTAAAAAAGTACAAGTAATTTTTCTAAAACTAATTAAATACGAAAAATAAGAAATTAATGAAAGAGAAAAAGAAGTTAAAAATGAATATTTTACCTAGAAAGAAATGAAAATAATTAAATATATACAAGTTTTTAATGTCAATAATTATGTGTACTAACTAATTGTAAATTGAAAAAGAGACACTAATTTTTTCGTAATTCACTTGCCTTCAAGAGAGTGTGCTCACTCTTTATGCCACATTATCATGTATGTGTATTTATTTCGTTATAAAATAATTTAAGAGGATAATAAAAGATGGCATAGTTGATGATATAGATTATGATTTTGCCCAAATAGTTAAAGGTGAACTTTGGACTTGTCATGATCCTGATCCGTCATAAGTAACACCAACACTAACCTTCCACTAGGAAAACTATTTTCCTAACCCAACAACCCTTAAATAGAGCAATTTACTATAGTATAAGTACTAAGGAAACACTTGAAAGCAAATAAAAATTGAGTTCCCATAAACTTCAAAAATCATCCTAATGATTGCCGAATTCAACCTCTAGGGATTTGAAAGTCATTACTAGAATTCTAAATAGTAAAGAGTGGGATGCGACCTCGAAACTAGAAAACATTAACCTAACGGTCTAAAAAATTGGTTGCCCAAAAAGAGGGGGGAAAAGTATAGAAGAATCCATGGTCGTCTAAAAGAGCAGCTTACCCTTGGATTTGAAGGTCAAACATCTCTCAATTGAGGTCTTGTATCAACTGCCTAAATATGACAAAGCAAGTGCAATATCAGTGCACAATAACTATGTACTAGTAAAATCATACGAATATAAATCTAAACATGAAAGAAAAAATAAGTTTCCACAGATTAGTTATACAGGACAACACATATACCAATAATCACGACATAATACAGCACAACCGCTATAGCGGATGCACAGACGTCCTGCTATAGCGGTGTGCCAGTCGCCATAGTGACTAGCACAGATTGAGAGACTCCTAAACCTCCCCAAAAGCCTCCATTTTGAGATATACATTTGATCTTTGATGTTCTACACTAACCCTTTCATGCCAAGTTCGATTTCGGGAGTTTTACTCACCCGAATTCGATTATAAAAGGCCCTATCGGTTTCTTAATGTCTCAGCTACTAGAAAATATAATTCAAACCTAGACATATTGCCCAAATCATTTCCGAATTGTCTAAAACCTCACATCTTTCAGATTTCATCTAAGATTAGCCTAATCTAACAATTTTAAGTTACAACCTAAAATTTTTTGTAACAATTTCTTTCACTATTGACGTACTCATAACAATCGAGACAAATCATTATATACTTGTAAATGATCAAGGATAAAGGAACGAGGAAGCTTTCTATACTTATATATTATGGAACTCATTATGTGAACAATTATCAATCAGAGAATTTTCATTCAAATTATCAAGATTTCAATCAAGAATCTTAGCGGTGATGTCAAGAAAATCAAGATTGGAACAAAGAGTAGCAAAATACAGGGTGAAGATACATGAACCATGGTAACTGTGACCAAGGCTTCAACCACAAAATTGCAAATTCATATGTCCCATCCCAAGATAGTCACCAAAATGCAAAACAAATCATCTCAATGTACATAAGAAAAATGTATCTAAGGGTGACAATTTCAGCCCATATAAGTTCAATAAAATTATTTTGTCTATATAAATTAAATGGACCATTCATAATTTCTTTCCTTTTCTTAAATGGGTTAATATGGTCTTCAACCTATTTAAGCTCATATAAATATGAATAAAATGGGTTAACATAAAAATTCATATTCAGCCCATATAAGAGAAATGAAACATTTTCTTTTTGTTTTTGGAAAATAGAAAAAATTTAGGGGTCGATTGATGGAAGGTGAGGACGGGGGCCGGTGGGGTGGGGGGTGCCTAGGGGAGGGGTAGTTTTTCTTTTTTGAAAAATAGATTTTTCTTTTGTTTTTGGGAGAAAAATATTTTTAGGGTAGTGGAAGGTTGTGGGGGTGGAGTGGGGGTAATTTTTTTTTTTGAAAAATATATTTTCTTAATTCTATTTTTGGGAAATAATTTTTTTTTAGAGGTAGGTTGGTGGCAGGGTGGAAGGGGGTGGGGTAGGCGTAATTTTTTTTTTGAAAAAATAAATCTTTTGTTTTTGAAATTTTTTTAGGCGTAGGTTGGTGGAAGGTGGAAGGTGGGTGGAGAGGGGGGGGAGGGGGATGCTCGGAAGAGGGAGTAAATTTTTGTTTCATTTTTTAAAAAAATAAATGTTTTTTTTAAGAAAAAAAATAAGGGATAGATTGGTGAAAGGTTGGGGAATGGGTTCCTCGGTGGTGGGGATTGTCTATGGGGAGGGGTAATTTTTTGTTTGAAAAACATATTATTTAAAAGGAAAAGAGCCTAAAATACCTTCGAAGTATTGAAAATGGTATACAATTACCCCCATCCACCTATTGGCCCCCAAATACCCTTCACATCCACCTTCGGGTCCAAATTTAACCCTTCATTAACGGACCAAAATTAAAAATAATTAAATAATAATTTTTAATTACGTGGCACTCAACCATGGTTGTAATTTAATTATTTAAAATAATTTTAAACCCACCCCACTTGACCCAATTTTTTAAAAAAACCATCTAATTAAAAATCCTAAACCTTATTCCTCCAATTTTCACAATTTCCATCGACTCCATTGTCTTCATCATCTTCTTCATCGACTCCAAGTTGCAAGATGATTCAATTACTCGTATCTGTTTGTTGGATACTGTGACAATTCTTATTTCCTTGGGACTTGGTAACAACTCTTCTCTTGCTAACCATGCAGAGAATGGGAAGGGTAGAATTAGGGTTAGCTTTACCATTCAAGATTAATATACAACATTCTTCTGCCATTAAGGTAAAACGAGTACATTTTGAAGTTCTTTAGAAAAAGAATCAACCAAAATTACCTATGGTCAAGTTCTAGTAGATAGACATTAACTTCTCAGTTTTAGGTTGTTTAAAGGTACAAGCACTATTACAGCTGATGAGTCACTGGGTCTATGTGGGCAAAACTCAATAGCCATTATGTTATCGACGATGATAAATGATTTCATTATCCAAATTGATTTCAGGTGTGACACTTACTTACAATTGACCATGTACCCTTGCTGGTTAATGGTCCAATTTTCACAACTTCCATCGACTCCAAGTTGCAGGATGATGAAGAAGAAGAAGACAATGGAGTCGATGGAAGTTGTGAAAATTGGAGGAATAAGGTTTTAGGATATTTTAATTAGATGAGTTTTTTTAAATTAGGTCAAGTGGGGTGGGTTTAGTTAAAATGGGTGGGTTTAAAATTATTTTAAATAATTAAATTACAACCAATGGTTGAGTGCCATGTAAATAAAAATTATTATTTAATTATTTTTAATTTTGGTCCGTTAATGAAGGGGTAAATTTGGACCCAAAGATGGATATGAAGGGTATTTGGGGGCCAATAGGCGGATGGGGGTAATTGTGTACCATTTTCAATACTTCGAGGGTATTTTAGGCCCTTTTTTGTTATTTAAATGGGTTAGAACCATTTTGTCCAAACCATATTTGACTAAATTCAATACATAATTGTTCCCTGTAACTTGGCTTCGAATCACATTTATATCCTTCAACTTTAGATGTGCACAAATAGACACTTAAACTTGTATAAAAATGAACAAATAGACACACATGTCCTATATGTCATTTTTTGTCCTACGTGTATTGTGCCATGTAGGACTCATGTGTTTATTTATTTAAAAGTTGGATAGTTAAAGTGTATGTTTGTGTACTATGAAAGTTGGAGGTCAAAGTTAAAATTTGAAGCCAAGTTTAGGATCCAATATATGGATTATGTCATTTATATTTGTCTATATTATATTTGGATGGATTGCAATCCAAACCATTTTTCTTAAATCATATTCAACCCATCCAAATCTGATCTAATCCAACCATTTGCCATCCCAATGATATCTATAGAAAGCAACATGCAATATAAACATACAGTAACTATATAGTACTATTACTTACTATGAACAACATGGTAAATTCTCATTCCTACTCTTATCAACCAAATTCACGAGGCCCAATTGACACATAACTAATCCAAAAATTAAATTAAGAGGAGAAAATATATAAAAATATCTTTCAACTTGATTGGATAATTTATTTTAGTATTTAAATTAAATGAATATTTAAATATTTCTTTTTAATATTTTTAAAGTGATTAAAACACCTCTCGAGAAATAATGTGATAAAAAGAGTGAATGCAACCTTCTGAAAGTACGTGAAATTAAAAGAAAAAAAAATTAAATTTATAACACATGACCTTTTCATATTGTCCTATATATAAAAATTATTTGAATAGTTTTATATATATATATATATATATATTGAATCTCTAAAATATGTAAATTTTCTTAACAAGAAATAAATGAAATTAGTGGGTGTCTTTTTTAATTTTTTCGTTTCATTTTGTTGTTTTCTGCAATACACATCTTTCTTTGTTGAAACATCTCCTTCTCCATCTTCATCCCCATCTCTATCTATTATTTTTATTTTACTACTCTTTTACTAATGTAAAATTTAATATTAAAGTCATTTTATTGATGTCAAATTCACTTTGTATTATTGGTGTCGATTTCGACAAATGTAAACATCTTTAAATTTTCAGTGATCCATTTTGAATTCTAGATCAATTCAAGCATTTCTCATAATTTTTTTTATTTAACTTTCTTATACAATCTTCATTTCTTATTTGAGTTGTCAAGAAAATATTGAAAATATCCATTCTCTAAGTGGATAAATTCGTCGGGAAGATTCGAAAAAGATAATATAAATATTTTACAGTGAATTTTCTTCTTTAAAGTGACTTAAAAAATTGTTGAATAACGAAGAAGAAAAAAATATTGGAAGTTGAAATAATGATGAACCACCAGGAAGAAGAAACAAAGATGGAATATGCATTTATAAATTAATTAATTGATATAATTAATTATTAAAAATATTTAAAAAATTATGAATAAATAAAAATAAAATAAAAATTAACGCATGGTGTCTATATGATTATGAGATGGTGTTTACGTAACTACGATATGACTAGTGACAATGGTACTATAGTCTCGGATGAAAACAGATCACCCCAAAAATATTTAAAAGGTATCTAAATGGTCATATAATTTAAATACTAAAATATATTAACCGCTTAACTTTATAGAATTTTTATATATTTTTTCTAAAGAAGTAATGTGAGTCGGTGCATGGCTATCGCAAGTTGCAACACAAACAAAAATTAATATTATTATTTTCATCAGATGAACATATGAAGGGGACTCATTATTTATATTCATCAGTTAGATTTTCTTATATATGTAATTATTAAGTATTCTATATATCATAAATAACTTTATTTTTTTTAAATATACATCATTAAATTGATAACATATAATCTACTTATAATTATTAATTATTACTTTTATTTTGATAATATAGATGTCAATTGAAACAATTTAATTATTCATTAGCTTGATTATTATCATATAACATATTTCAATATTATTTAAAGATATTTTTAACAGCATGAAAGTCATCGAAAAATAATTAAAAAGAGTAAACTAAAAAGTGACTTGCCCACACATTGGGATGCGAGTGGACACATGCAACCACATAACATAACACCTCAGCACTCCCTTTTGATGTATTCGTGTAGTTACTACACACGTATGCATAACACATATTTTTTAATTTAAATTTAATATCATTACAAAATTTGAAATTAATAAAATTAAAATTCTATTTGATCCTTTTCAATAAAAAAATATATAAAATCTCTCTCCATTTTTGTTTTCTACAAACTCGTCACACATTAATTCAGATGAGAGCAACCAAAATTCATGTGAAAACACATTTTAAATATATATTATAAGTTGAAGAAGAGAAATTAAGAATATATCACTTGTAACATATGGGTTGTGGTTTTAGCTGTTTATAAAGAGTTCAAATTAGCTTCTTATAATAAGGTCTATCTCTTTCCCCATATATTGCAATTTTTGTTAGCTTCAATTTTATTAATTAGGTATATTTATGTTTTTTCTTGTAATGCAATTAGTTTCCACTAATTTTTTTTTTGAGATTTACTGCACAGTAGGAAGTTGGGCTTTGATTTGAGTTGTGTTTTGTAGCTTGACTCAATTATTTTGTAACATACTATGTTTTGCCCCCTATAATTTTTGTTCTTGATTTTAATTGATGCCACTACATCTAACAATTTCCACCTTTTCTTCTATAGTGATTTGGATGGTCTTATAACCAGAAATTTTCACCAAGAGTTTAAAATATGAAGAAGTAATTAAGTACATAAAGAATTTGAACATTATCTCAAAAATAGTTTTAAATATGAAGAAGTAATTAAGTACATAAAGAATTTGAACATTATCTTAAAAATAGTTTTAAGCGATAATAGATATGAACATTAACAAAAGAGTGTTAAATTCGTTACTTGTCATTTGATTTTATGTAGCTCATAGACTTAAAAAACATTTATGTGTTTAATTATCTCTAGGGTTTTTAATGGTTATGACTAAAAATTTAAAATCAAACTGTAATCTGAACTAAACCAATTAAAAAATTTGATTGATTTAGTTTGGATATAAATTTTGAAAAATCAATATTATTTGGTTTGGTTTTGATTTAATTTTTTTAAAAAAAAAATTGGCATCCAAATATCTCTCACGCACTTCAATTGCGTGGTGTGTCACAAAAGACAAAAGGTGTACAAAATTATCAAAAAAAAAGTTCAAGGAAAATAAGGTCTAGTTTAGTTAAGGTGTTTCTCTGAGATTTTAGTCATAGTCAGGGGTACTAGTGCATTTTTCCATTTTCATAAATAATATATAAATATTTTGTTAAATTTTAATTAATTTACTTAAGTCTGGCTGTATAATGACTTTGAACTTCGGTATTGCTTAATTGAATTCACATTAGCTTTTCTATTATATTGTTCATGTAGTAGGTGTCTATTTCTATCGAGATGTGTATTCTCTTAACATACTTATTACTTTCAAATCGAAACAATCGAACCGAAATGACATTCATTACTCAATTCATATGGCTGAATCGACAATAGCTTTTCTATAGATTTTTTGCTTGAAAGTGAGTTAAGAAACATGTCACTCTTGGATCTTGTCAACCTGGATCTCTCTGAATGCCACGAGACAAACAAAAGTAGAATCATTGCTGAATATATATGGTTAGTTTCAGATATTTGTTTTCCATTTTGATTCTCTACAGTTTATCATTGCATGCTTTATGTTCTTTTCCTTATTGCTTTCTTTATTGGTGTTTCTTGTTACAAGTTTTGATCATTTTATATAATATTGACTTATTATTTCACATTAAATACTCCATTCGTTTAAAAAAGAATGATCTATTTTGACTTGGAACGAAATTTAAGAAAAGAATAAAGATTTTTTAATATTGTGGATCTAAATTGAAGTTATATCAAATGTATCAAAATGTCCTTTAATCTTGTGGTCTTAAACATGCCACGTTGAAAGTTAAATTGAAGTGTTACCAAAAAAGAAAATGGGTCATTTTTTTAAACAAACTAAAAAGGAAATATGGTCATTTTTTTTAAACGGAGGGAGTAATACTTTGTGTAACCGGTAATGTGTAGTTTTATGACTTTATCATATCACTACATAAAAAATGATGTTAATTAGTGGCAATAGATCAATTGCCACTAAATATGTACTTTTAGCAACAATTAACGACATTAAATCTAATAAAACTTAACTTATGCCGATAAAACTTTAACACTTTTTATTTATGTGTTTATTTGTTACCGCTAAGAGTTGCTTATGTCATATTGTACTAAGAATTATTTTCTTGTTCTGGAATGTGCATTTATCAGGATTGATGGATCTGATATGAACCTGAGAAGCAAAGGAAGGGTAATTCATATCTTCCTTTTCCTTTTTCAATATTTTTATGGCAATATATACATGTATGTTTGTTTGATGTAGAAACAAACTTGGGCCTAACTCACGCCTCTAAAAGCACAAGTTTATTTAAGTCCAACTTCAATTCCGCATTCAGCGGATTTGTGACACACAAGATCATAAGCAATAGTTAATGGCAGAGCTAGAATTTTTACTAAGGAGATTCAAAATCTAAAGAAGTGAACACACAAACTAGCAGAAGGGGGTTGGGGGTTCGACATCTAGCATACATACATAAAAAAAAGTATTACTCATATGTATATAATATAATAAATTTCCGCTGAAAGGGGTCAAGTGGGATTCACCATTGATAACAATCTCGCTCGCTTGATACCAACAACATCGTTAGTCATAACTGTATTCACCCCTGTTGAGTTTCGGCCACCACTAGTGATACACAGACCACCATTCTGAGCGTTGACCCTATCTGTCGAACGATTGGCTCTTATGTCATGTAACAACCTTGGGCCTTTAGGGCTGTGAGTTAGGCTCAATGTAGTTACAAATTTTATGATAAAAAATGGTGTATTATGTTTTCTCGGTATTATAATCTTTAAGGGGTATTGACATCTAGGGTGTGTTCGGTACGAAGAATAATGTGTCCTGTTAAAAAAAATGTTTTTAAGGAAATTCAATGGCTTTCTTATGCTTTTTTGGGATGAAGATAAGGTGTGTTGAAGAACATGGAGGATACAATAAAATGTAGAATGCCAACCCTCTTTCTTAAAAAATCACCGTCCTCATTTTTCTGGATAAATTTTTTCAAAAATTTGATCAACCTAACACACCCCTAATTGTGATTTCGATCTGTGGATGACAGACCCTGCATGGTCCTGTTACTAGTCCTTCTCAAATTCCAAATTGGAACTATGATGGTTCGAGTACTGGCCAAGCTCCTGGTGAAGATAGTGAAGTCATCTTATAGTATGTAATCACTTGTTTGTTCACATTCCCGTTTCTATTTTCGAAGTTTCAAATTTCCATGTTTAGCATTCCTTATGTTTATTTTTTGTTTATAAAGTCCCCAGGCAATTTACAAGGACCCATTCAGGGGAGGAAATCATATTCTTGTAAGTTCTCTGTCTATTTCTTTTTTGACAAGGTCGGGGGTAAGGTTGAGCCTCCCCGGACCCCACTTTTGTGGGATTACACCGAATATGTTGAAGGAATGGACATTTTGATTTTTAGGTCATGTGTGATGCTTATACTCCAGCTGGAGAGCCCATCCCAACAAACAAAAGGTTTAATGCTGTAAAGATATTTAGCCACCCTGAAGTCCTGGCTGAGATACCTTGGTAAGTTTAGGAATCATGGACTATGTTAGTGAAAAAGAGTCGTTGTCCTATGCTAGTGCACTTCCGTGCAATAGTTTGACTAAAGCTTATCCTTTTACGGTACTAGTTTCAGGGACATTCTATATATTACTTTACTAATACTATTGTCGTTGACCGTTAACTAACTTTTCGAAGAATGCAGTTGATTTGTTTGTGTGTATGTTGTCTTCGAATTCATTCTCGAGAACTTCCATTATTTTCTATGATAGGTTTGGTATAGAGCAGGAGTACACTTTGTTGCAGAAAAATCTGAATTGGCCCCTTGGTTGGCCAATTGGAGGATATCGTGGACCTCAGGTAGTGATACGAAGCTTTTCATGAAGTTCCTTTGTCCAGTTAATGTCTTGGTTTGTAAACAAATATCTGTTTGGGAAGATAATACTTTTCTTCTGCCCTGTATTGGTAACAGGGACCATACTTCTGTGGTGTTGGTGCAGAAAAAGCCTTTGGCCGGGATATTGTCAACTCACACTACAAAGCGTGTCTATATGCTGGTGTCAACATTGGTGGAATCAATGCAGAAGTTATGGCAGGCCAGGTAAAACTAAGAAGAAAAGAATAACTTTCGTGTGAATTTACGTAATGTAGTAAGGGGAGGATATTATAGGGAAGCATTGAATGGATATGAGCCGGATGAGAGGAAACTCTCATGATTCATGTCCGGCTCGGGGGGCATGGTATCGTTGTACTGGCATTAAGCCTGCAATGTTATTTGGTTCAACTCAGTTGAGAATACGGTTAAATAACAAAATGTGGTCTCTCTAACAACTCAAGTCTTTAGATGGTTATATCGGGTAGTGCACTTATGTTCTTAGTATTTTTGTTTTGATTTAGTGGGAATTTCAAGTTGGACCAACAGTAGGCATTTCTCCTTGTGATGACCTTTGGGTAGCGCGTTACATTCTAGTGGTAATTAATTATCTTTCACCTTCAAGCTAAAGCTAATAGAAAACTTAAAAGACCCGACCTTACGTTTCCTTGTTTGTGGTTTGAACAGAGGATTGCAGAAGCAGCTGGTGTAATTGTTTCTTTTGATCCGAAACCTGTTGAGGTAAGGTTCTGTTTAAAGGAGTTCAATCTTTTACATAAATATGTCATATTATATCTTAGCATTCGTCTCGTGGCAGGGTGATTGCAATGGTACTGGTGCTCATACAAATTACAGGTACATCTCCCGTTGACACATACGTCCATCATCTCATATGTTGGCAATTAACATATCGTTGTTGTGATTAGTACCAAGTCTATGAGGGCCGATGGAGGACTAGAAGTAATAAACAAAGCCATTGAGAAGCTAGGCAAGAGGCACAAGGAACATATTGTTGTTTATGGTGTTGGCAATGAACGTCGTCTTACAGGAGAACATGAAACAGCTGATATTAACACCTTCAATTTTGTAACAACACTTCTGACCTAAGACAAGTTCTGTTTATTAATCGATCAATCGATGTAGATATTGTTAGTAATATTATTTGTTATCGATAATTTGCATAGGGAATTGCTGATCGCGGAGCATCGATTAGGATTGGAAGGGAGATGGAAAAAGCTGGAAAAGGATACTTGGAGGATAGAAGGCCCTTTTCAAACATGGATCCTTATATGGTAACGTTTATGATTGCAGAAACAACCATCCTGTGGAAACCATGACACTTCTATGATTGCCTTCTTGCATATGAATGAAAATTAACAAAAAGGATAGCACAAAGGTGAATTTTATGCAGATTTGATCGAACTTTAATATAATATTGTTAGCCGCTAGCCAGGTTGTACATCACACCCCTTGAGGTGCGATTCTTTTTTGGCCGATGCTAACATGGGATACTTTGTGTAGTAGGTTTTTTTTTACATAATCTTGAGGTCTACGTAAATAGCTACTACTCTTTGTATTAGGTCAATTTTCTAATAAAATATTCTCTTTGTTTAAATTTGTTCGTTCTATTTTGTTTGATATAAGTTTAAGAAAGTAAATACGTTTTTTGAATTTTGTGATTTAAATGAAAAATACATCATACCAAAAATATTTGAGTATTTATGTTCTTTAATAAGTGGAGAAATTTGAGATTAAAGAGTTACCAAAAGAGAGAAATTAATTTTTTTAGGGATTGTTTAGTTGGAAATATGTTATCTCGAGATTAGTTATCCTGAGTTAGTTATTCTAGTTATTCTGAGATAATTTATTCATAATGTATGGGATAAGTTGTCCTAAACATGAAACCCAAACAAGATATAGAAATTTTATTCGATCACTATTTTTTTATCCCATCACTATTTATTTTAGGCATAATACATAATAATGCCCTTTAACTTGGCTTCGAATCAGATTTATGTCTTGTAACTTTGGGTGTGCACAAGTAGACACTTGTATAAAGTTGAACAAATACACACACATATCTTACATGTCATTTTTTGTCCTACGTGGTGTCCTACGTGTATTTTGTTATGTAGAATTTAAGTGTTTATTTATTTAAAAGTTGAAAAATTAAAGTGTATATTTGTGCATTATAAAAGTTGAAGGTCAAAGTTAAAATTTAAAGCTAAATTTAGAGTTCAATATATGTATTTTGCCTATCCCTTTTAATAACAGATAGTATTAAATAAATAGTATTAAATAATATTAGTATTTACTGTGTACTAATCCTTAGGATTAGTACTCCTTAATCCTAAAACCTATTAGGATTAGTACTCCTTCCTATATCTCCTATATATATCTTCCATGTATTCCCTTATTAGGTTAACACTTCAATACAATCAATATTTCTTCATGGTATCAAGAGCCAGAAAACCTAGATCTTCTTTTCTCTAGGTTTTTCTCTCTCTTTAGGGCACCGATCGTTCCCTCTCTTCTCTTGGGCGGCGGCAGCCATGACAACCGAGGTGGATCCTCTCGATTCACTTCCTTCTGGCGTTAAACTCCTTCTCAGGCATCTTCATGCCTTGATTCCCGAAAAATTATCAGACATAAATTACCTTACATGGAAAATCACCGTTCTTACAGCCCTTGAGGCCAATTACCTTCTCAAATACGTCGATGGAAGTACAGAACCGTCACCGGCAGTCATCACCGCCACGGATAAATCAGAAAAAACCAATCCGGCCCATGCCGCTTGGAAAGCCGTGGATGGCCAGATCCGATCATGTTTGATTGCGGTCATCTCTCCCATTGTTCAGAAATACGTCTGATTCTACATAACTGCTTCAGCCCTGTGAGAGGCCCTCGCAACACGCTATGCATCAATTTCCCACTCTCATATTTTTCAATTGCGTGATCGTCTCCACACAATTACCAAAGGCACGAAAACTATGGCGGAGTATTTAGACGAGGTCTCCACCATCATCACAACCCTCGACA